GATTCTGTGCCCGTTCGACAGCGAGAGGTTCGCCATCGCCATCCTTTGCTACTCTTGCCAAGGACCCTGTCACTCGCAGGCCCGCTGCAACTGCCAGACGGGCATTTGTGAAGGACTTTACTGCTACAGCGAAATCAGGTAGAAGTCGGTACTTTTTGTCCGCCACTTTGTAACTGTTTGACTTCCACTTGAAGGTCTTAGTTTGTTGTCATTTAGCCTTGTCACAAACATCTAGCTGCCTTCCATATTAATCCTCTTGCGAGCATTACGAATGTCCGATGGCGATCAAAGTCCGGATCTGATGCTCTGCGTTCCATTCTCGTTAGCAGAAATTCAGGCATGATGAGTAGCTCTAAAACGTGAAACAATTGTCCAGCATTTCATTCATTCATCTTCTACTTTCGCTAATCAATTTAACAAAAACTTATTCAGATCAACTGCAAAGGGACGGGGGGAGAGGCACCATGATATGGATTTCCTGGAGCGGCCCAGACAGGTTTTATGTGTAATGAAGCATCTGCGATGTGCTGCATACGTGATGGTCATCTTGTTCTTTGACTTAGCAAGAGACGTGCTTGGATAGCGTTCCTGTGCTACCTCGCTGCGTGACCAAACCGGCGAAACTGTGAACCTTCGACTTGCAGAAATAGCGACTAACAGTCAGTGGCATCTCAGATTGCTGTGTTTGGACATTGTCCAATCTCGTCACAGCCACAGTCCATCAACGAAATCAGGTTTCTGTGGCTTGTATCTGCGTTGGCACTCTTTCCGCGAAAAACTTTGACATTCGTGACCATAGGAAAAAACATATTCGAATATAAGTTAGAAGCAAACAGCTTCAAGGACTCCTCAGGTTTTACTCCTAGTGGAATAACAGGGCACGGATGAAACCATAGACAAACAGAGTTCGAGTTCATTCATTTCCCTCAAGTGTGAGTCGCTATTATGAGTAGGATTTTTCTTTTCCTCCTTTACTCCTTCTGAGACATTACTGAAAGTGACTACATTCCTCAGTCCGCTGATTGCCTCCGAGGTTGTAACCTGAATGTCGTTTACCCTGTCGTCGAATTTTTGTGATGGGTGCTGATAACGAAGACTAAGTTGATGGCTTTAAACCGTAGGCAGAGTTCAGATTCGTTTAGCTGTTTTGTACTGTTAAAGGAAAGGAGGATTTGCAACCGACCAGTTGTTTTTCTTACACTGCCATTGAAGTTGATGGTGCGGCGTTAATCTACATTTCTTTGCCATCAAACGCTATTGTTGTTAAGGCCATATGAATCGCTTGGTGGTACCGTAATGCTTAGTTTCCTGTATCCCTTCCAAAAGATGGTACGCGCTCACTGATCAAGAGCCGCAACACGGCCTCTTGTTTCTGAAGCCGACACCATACCATGGAACAAAATGGCAATCAAACTGAATGACTTCTAAACGATGGCAGTAGAACTAAGAGCAAACAGCTCATTTTTCACTTGATTACAATGAAACTTAATATATTCTAGCTTTCTGGCATTGCATGTCATTCAATAGAGGTGCAGTTAAGAAATTGGAAGATATGATCAATTTCTGGTCCTCAATAATTCAGTCAAACTTACGACACGTGATTCAAAGAATGGGCGAAGATACTGGAGTATATTTTTTTTATCAGAAAGGGTATTTGATGAATCACAGCAATCTTCCACTGGCTTTAATTTGTATTTGACCATTTAAGATATCCATTATCCCAAGGGCGGTCATTAATGCTGCAGAAAAGCAATTCTAAACAACTTTTGATATGAAAAAATGAAGGAACTGATTTCTACTTTTCAGCATAGCCTATAGATGCTCTTAGATATATTAGCGAGATATCTGCTCTCGGATCTGAAGATCAGTGAGGAATGAACAAGCGCGTCATACTCTGCATCCACCGTATCACTCTCACAGCAGGTCA